GCCACTCTAACTATAAGCTTTATCAAAAAGGAAAGTTTTAAGCCTAGCCCTTTTCAACAATCTTCCTTTGGTCCAAAAACTATTGCTTTAGTTTTGTTTTAATTCAGCTGAAGGGTGTTTAGTTTGTCCATTCAATTATTTCTGTTCTGCATTTACTCAGAGCTGCGATGGGCTCTAGTCACCTACAGCTGAGTATCGTCTGGATAGTTATGGTAACTTATGTTGTGTTTATGTTTATAATATGGGAGCATGTAGATATTAGATGTTGAACCTTTTAGGAACCCTGCTGGTGATCTCTGTGGTCTCGGTTGTAAACTTACCTTCATGTAGGTTTTAAACCAGTCAACTGTCTCAGTGAATCTCCCAATAGTTCTTGGATGAATGTTTCTTCACAATTCTCTCACGGCTGTGGTTTAGGCTGTTGCTGGCACCCTTTCCTTCTGACCTTTAGTGCCTTATGTGTCACTGGTTGTCTTTTGGACATCTGTCCAGGCAGGAGTTTTCTCCATTACTCCATTTACTAAAGACCCAGACTGAAAAATTATTTAAAGACTAAGGAAACCTTTGCTGTTGTTTTGTGATAATTAGCTGAAAAGAAAATGAAATGAGTTTCCAATAGGCCCCTTTTTTACTGTATTTGTTTTCTTTGAGAAACAGAAAATGCTATTTTATTCTTCTATAAACGATAATAATTAAATGTCTTTCACACCACGGGCCTGATCTTCACAGATGCCAAATGTGAAGCACTAAATTGTGCTTAAAAGAAATTAAATAAGTAGTTGCAGGTGGATAAAAGATCTTCACTGTTTAAAGCTACGGAATACCTATAATAATTTAGTACAACAGAACTCTGCTTTGTTTGGAGCCTGTAAAAAAACAAAAAAAAGAAAAGATGGAGGTGAAAAGTCACTTAAACCTCTTAAGAATTCCATCATCATTTATATAGAAAGTTATTTTTTTATTCCCTTCCTAAATTGCCCCTGTACAACTTGTGTAATGTTTGACCTAAATTTGACGTTAACATTCAGTTTGGTTTTATTATAAAATGCCATAATATTAAATTCGTAGGGAAATCATATTTAAATGTCAAATCATTCTGGCTAAAACATGAATATAAATGTACTCACTATCAGGCGATATTGTCCCAAAATGTAGAACATGTCTTTTTATTTTATGCAGGCCAGTTAGTTCTACGTCAGCCTGAACACCTAAATTATCATGCCAATCATATATCAACGATCATCTGTCAAATTAATATTTTTGGTCATAACATCTTAATTCATATGTCGCAGCTAATATACGCAACGGTTGAAATGAGAATCCTTTCCTTTCCCAATGAGTTCCGTCCCAGTGTTCACGGGGATGGACGTCTGTGTCTTCGGCAGGTGTAGAGCTTACAGAACTGGCAGCGTTGCGAGGCAAGGGCTCAAACATGTACGGCTGGAAGCCTTCTACACCAAACCAAGCTTCTGCCGCCCTGGCGTCCTCTTCCACAACATCTTCGTCCCCGCTTTCCTCCTCTAAATAAAAAATGGATGACGGAGGAGACTCATCCACGACCTCCGACACTAAACTCTCCTCCTCTTGCATGTTTCCTCTGTCCATAGCGTTCCTTGACAGCGTCGTTTCTAAGTCACCAATTTAGTGCTACTTGGTCCCAATGGAATTTCCCATTGGGACCCTACTAGCAGTAAGTTGCTAACTGGTTAGCAAGATGCCTCCGACAAACCGGCCACAACCAAACTTGCTTGTGAACCTTCCTCCACAACAATCCCGCCCCCTTGATAATCGACCAATCACATTCACTTTGTTCACTCGTGTAAAGTCGGGCACCACTCGGGAGAATTCGGAAATGCAACGGTTGGAACATCCGCTTCCCTACGACTTTAAAGTTCAGTAATAATGTTATGGGTTTTATTTTTATTGCATAACAACTGTCTGCTTCAAGATGTATCTGTGTCCCTGTGCAGACACCTTTTTCTCCACTGATATTATTCTGCTATTGTTATTTCTAACAGTCTTATTATTTTCTAACATTCAAAGACTCTTTAAATCCTCTGCCATTGTACCAAAGCCTCTTTTCTGGTTTAAAATGACAGCAGAAAGTTTTGCGAGTGAGGAAACTATAGATGCAAAAACTGTAAACATGTAATCACTTTCAAGCTTCATACATTTCTTTGTGGGTGCTAAATATTTATATTTCACCACCACCCATAATTTTGCTTTTTTTGTTCTTAAGCATATGACCTGCATATTCACAAAGGCACGTGCAAATGATTTTTTCCTCTGCTGTTCTGCTCATTATAGACATGCAATTTGTTAATCAACAGATTTGTAGATCAGCTGTGCAAACATGCAAGTTTGCATATTTTGCAAACTTGGCGTTGAAGGTCAGGTCCTAAGTGAAGTGAATATTATTTAGGATTGACGTTATGAAATAAGTGACATAAACTGATCATTTTTTGAGCAATTTTCCATTTATTTAGGTGCATCTGCACCTATGAAGAAATGCAACAAAAAAGAATAATAACTACATAAAAAAGGAGAATGTGTTTAAAAGACAGAGAAACAGAGCTACAGCTACAAAGGAGAAGAAGGTGGCGAAGGAGAAGATTGTTAGTCGAGTTAATGTGTAGGTTTATATGAAGTGGTCTATGGCAGGCCGTTTTCACATTTATTATAAGCACTTTTCCTGGAAAAAAAATCCCACCCCTAGACCTAACTACTATTCATTTATTTATTTACAAATATTTCCTAAATTACAGTTTTCGGTTAACATTCCTGATGAAACTGAGCTTTTTAGCTTACAGTGCAGCTGGTTTGGTCAACCAGGGAGGTTAAGAAAAAGTTTTTTTTATTTTTTGTTTGTTTGGATTTTTTGTTTACCTCAAACCATTTTAGCTCTTTTAGAGCTCTCCTCTCTGTTTCTAAGTAGATAGCTTCCATAAGTATAAATCGGATTTCATGGTTGAGTTAATCCAACATGGATAGCTTGTGGTAGGCAAATAAACTTATCTGTATTTTACAATGATGACAAAGAATATTTAAAGGTAAAGTTTAACCCTGATAAGCTGCACAGGATGTTTAAAAAGAAAAAAAGTGTTATTGTGAAACTGAAACACTGAACCAACCCAACCAGTAGGAATGAAGCTCTTAATTCTTAATGAAGAAAGAATTTGAAGGAAGCTGTTTTTATCAGCAAGCTCTACGCTGTTCCCTTAATTTGACCCAGCTTTTCCATCCTTTTTACCCTTTTTCCTTTGGATCCCATTTTCATCTTCCCATTACAGAAATATATTTGGCAGTGCTGCTTTTGTTTCGAATTTACGTTTTTTCCCTAATTTTCCTCCCTCTCTCCCTCTTGCCCTCTCCTATTCTCAGGATACAAAGGTAATTCAAGCTGCAGAGCGAATAAAGGCCTCACTGTCCCTTAATACTTCACTTTCTGTTCACTTTGGCTTCTGGTTCATTCTAATTCTTTTCAGTTTACTTGTTTATTATTTATTTGTTGTTTATGTTTTTTTTTCCTCCACTCTTCATGTTTCAGTCTTCCCTGGTTTTTTTATGTTGATATTCTCTCTCTGGATTTTCCGTTCTGAGTTTCCTGGCTCCATCTTGCCTGTCTTTGTCACTGACTCTCACACCAAATGCGGCTATTGATGGGAATGCACACCTGAACACAGATTAAAGCCAGAGGCAGTGATGCACATGTATCTGTCATGAAGCAGGGCTGTGTGACTCCTGTTTTGTCTTGCTTCAACAAGCCTGATTTCTGTGTTTGGTTAGTCAGCTGATATCCCTACCAGTCCTGACATTCCCTCATCTTTACTTTCCAACCTTGTTCTTTCTGTCCGGCTGGGCTTTGCTTGGGTCTGGTGCTCTTTTTGTGTCTTTTTTTTGTCCTTTATTCGTCTTTCTATCTCCAACCTCACTGTCTATTGTGTGGTAAAGGAATGCCAAACCTACAGTAGGCATCCACTAAAGGCATTGGGGGCATGCAGTCCAAACCACCCAGTTCTTCCAATATGTTGCACCTATTGTGTTTTCACATGGACTTTAGTAAAGGAGGCTTCTCATTGGCTAAGAAACAAGAGCAAACGGATCGCTTTGCTAAAAGAACTGGTGGCAGCTTGTAGTGACACCTCCTCCTCATCCTCGGACGTATTTTTTTTCCTTCTCTCTATGCATTTTTCTCTCCAAACCGTTAAGCTATTAATAGGCCGTTTGGATCCTGCCACAGTGTTTGGTTCATGTGAAACTACAACAAAAGTGCATTTCACCAAAGGCTGACTGTCTTGTCTGTTTGTCAGTCTGTTTCTTATGTGGAGGTTAATGTGCCAGTCTCCATTATTTGTCTGCCAGCCTGTCAGTCTATTTGAAACCATTGATCTCACTGACTGACATTCAGCTAAAGACACACAGGGTTTGAACTAGTATGACATTTAAAGTTAGGTGGTTTTGCACTGAAGCTGTTGACAGCCTAATGTGTTTATGACTTTTAAAAGTAGCATCTGAACAAGCCGCTATGACCAAGTGGAGCGTTCAGCGCTTTAGACGTGGCCAGCGTCTATTCCAGCCCACGTATTGACCTAATCGTCGCCCCCTTCTGCACCCGGCTGAACTTTTCCACATTTTGTCACTTTACAGGTTTCCAGCTTTGGGGTTAAAAAGTTAGACCAACAGAAGAAGGAGATAACTCTGATATTTATGTGTTTTATTTATTTTTTTTTTTAAGTGGTGTGAACAACTAGAATCAACCCTCTGAACTGTAAAACCCCTTAAGAAAGGAATCATAATCCCCACTTCCATTACCCTTATAAAACGGTGCTGTGATTGGTCCGAGCACGGTAACCAAGATAACTGTTGAGTGTAAATGGCACGCACGACTGAACCGGACTGCGCCAGACAAAACTGAACCACTCTAAACTGGTATTAGTTCATCAGTAGGGCTCGGCACGGTTCAGTTCTGGCTCTGTTCTCAGACAACAAAGGAAATCAGTCAGATGGATAACAAATCTAGCCGCGTGAGACCATCCTGATCTCGCGAGCTTTCAAGGTTTCACTCGCAGATCAGTCTGGAGACTCTCCGTTAAAGAAAATTTGGAGCCGTTCACCAAACGAACGTCCAACCAGCGTTGGCTTTGAGGCGGGTTGAGGTGTGACG